TTATTTTGTTGCAATTCTAAAACGAACAACTGTAGATACATGAAAATTTCTCTGAATGTTTAAATTAGCATTTTCTATACACCATACAATTTTGAAAATATTTGACTCTTTTTGAGCTGTTTACGGCTCAGGGTTTGTTGTTGAAAAGTAAACTATAAAAAAATAGAAGCTGAAAATGTCCGTAAACAGCTTAAAATAAGTCAAAATATTTGGAAAATGTTATGGTGTATAGTAATTACTAATATAAACATTCAGTCAAAATGTCATGACTGTGTTGACTTTTATAAAAAAAAACCTTTTACATTATTCCTCTATAAGATATATCTCAGATAGAAGTTAAAAAGTTGTGTGGTCACTTGTGGTATTTATCTGCAGAATTATGTGAATTTTATTTTTTCGATGAAGCTGGAGGCTAAAAAAATTATTTATGCTCTAAACAACCACGATTGTTCATCAGAATTAAGTTTAAATGCACAGTAATTAAACAATTATATCTACAAAAAATGCAAACGAGTTTTTAGAAAAGGAAATCTATGATTTTATATGTGTCAATACTATAAAAACTATTTAAACGATTTGCAATCAATACCACCTTTTTGAATGAAGACCCTTTATATTGGGACAATAATGAAAAGTATAATAAAGCTCTGTAAGTTTTAAAAAATATCCCAGTTATAATGATGTTGCGAAAGAGCAGTAAAACTTATAGGGGATTATAACAATAAAATAACCAAAGATGAATCTCAAAAACAATACCTTCTAGTTTCTACAAATTGTTAATGTTTATTGTAAAAAATATCCTTACCATAAAAAAAAACTAACACAGTCATAAATTTAAAATATGTTAAAGATATAACTATATACGTAAGTAAAAAATATTAAGTCATTATGTTATTATTTATTGTAAATTTTTATTATAATAATTATTTATTATTGTTGTATGTTAAGTTTTAGGAAATATCACAATTTTTAAGATTATTTTTTTTTAGATTCTGAGTGGTATGAATGTATTGATTTTACAATGATATGTGTTTTTTTTTTTGTTATTTTTTTTGGGCCTGTGTACACGATAAGTAGCCGAAATAATGCTTCGCATTTCAACTTCAGTATCTTGTTCGATTGGAAATAAAATCTAGTCGGTGCATTCGGGGGGTCAAATTTTAAAATTCCCAATAGTTTTCACAAAAGCCGGGATTAAACACATAAAAATTAAGGAATAACAGAATTTTTACGCAAAATCTGTTTTCCAAAAAATCGATTTTGGTTTTGGTGTAACTCTAAAACAAATTAACGTGTATACATAAGATTTACACTGGTTGTTTATATTTGCATTTTCTATATACGATAAATTTTTAAAATATTATGATTTGAGTTTAACTGTTTTAATAACATTTTCATTTTCCATATTTTTTAGTTTTTTTTCTAAAAATATCAATACAATTTTATTTGTTGGTTTCGAAAGCTTGAAACTTTAATAGAAGGCTCCTAGTATATTGTTTCAAAGGCAGATGAAAAATATTAAAAATCCTTGGTCACAATTTTTTTATAAGCATTTAAAGTTCAAAAATTGACAAAATATGGAAAAATTACGAAAATTAGCAAATTATTTTGAGTTTAGAATTCGTAAAAATTTTTCTTTTTAAATCTAAGATTTGAAAATGCAATACAATATATTAAACAGATGTCTATAAGAAATCAAATTAAATTTTTATGAGCGTTTGAAATTCAAATTTTTACAAGATTGGATATTCACTCGATTTCTCATGTAGCGTTTCCTTATTTTGTTGTAATTCAAAAAAGAATTACTAGTGATACATGAAAATTTCACTGAATGTTCATATTAGCATTTCCTATACACTGTACAATTTTGAAAATATTTTGACTCTTTTTGAGCTGTTTACGGACATTTTCAGTTTTCAATTTTTTTAGTTTTTTTTTTTCTATAAATATCAATAAAGTTTTATCTTTGTGGCCAAAAAGTGTAAAAATGTAATACAAGGCGCCTGATATATTGTTACAATAGCAATTTAAAAATATTAAAAATACATATGCACATTTTTTTTTTATAAGCATTTAAAGATCGATTTGACAAAATTTATCAAAATCTCGAAAATTATCAATCATTATATTAATAAATTATAAAATGTTCAGTTTTTATAGCTAAGAATTGGAAATTTAAAACAAAGGTTCCCATAAATAATTCATACTGTAACCAAAAAATCTAAAAAATATATGAACACAGTTATTTTTTACAGACATTTTAAATTCAAATTTGGACGAAATTACATATTAAAATCAATATTAACGATCTTGGTTTTTGGTTGTAATTTAAAAATATTATTTGGGGATATATAAAACTGAAAAATCAAAATATTGTGGCCTATCCATACAATCTACCATAGTATAAGGAATAAGAAGTATGCTCAATGTGACGCGGACTTATGTAGTGCCACGTGGAGTGATGTGGTAGTTGTGACCAACGGAGAACCTGTCGGTATAAAATCAAAATAACAGAAAAAAAAAAGAAAAACAAAAAAACGGCGCACTGGTGTGACTTTAATTTTTATTGTTAAGAGTAAAAAAAAACATTCAATATGATATTGAGAAACGGTATCGAAAAAGAAAAGAAGTTGTTCTTATATTCACGGTGACGTCTATCCGGGTCGATGTCAAGAGCACGAGAGCGAGCGTCTTGACAGACCGGTTCACCGGACGGCCGGCCGAACGTTCCTGGCGCGAGTGTCGATTGGCGGTTTGATTGAGAAGCCACGGCGCGGCTTCCGCGCAAAGGCTGTTTGAATTCAAACAGATTTTGCGCGGGACCGCGTCATACTCCCCCCCCCCAAACCGCCAACGGCGTTGGTGTTCCGGCCGTTGCCGGTGGTGTGGTTTGTCATGAGTGGAGGGTGGTTGTGGTGGGTCAATGAGAGGAAGGTGGTTGTGGTAGACACCTGTCCGTGGGCACATTTCCGGCTGTGTTCAGCGGACGTGGCCCTGGTGGTGTCTAGTCGCTTTTGGGCGATGTGGGGGGGCTGAAATACATTAGACTGACGTCCATGTCCTCGTGGTCAGCCAGGTGTGCGCCCGTACCTAATAACAGTTGCGCCTCCTCCTCCGGGGATATTTCCATATCCTCGGTTTGAGGGGTGGCGGCCGCTAGTTGTTCCGTGGTTCCGGTTGCTCCGGATGTGTGTGTCACTTCCGGCACCGTGACCACGGTGAGGTGCGGGGTCGCAGGCCCTGGCTGTGACAGCACCGTTTCTGGGGCTGGGGTTACGGGTGGTGCCGGTTTTTCCAGGCGGTGTTGCTGGGACGTCTGTTGGAGCTTGGCCTTGTAGTCCCGCTTCCGCTGCTGGTTCCGGCGTTGGCGGGCGTTCATCGTGGCTGCAGCTGGTGTTGGTGCGGTGGTCTTTGGTGTCGGCGGTGGCCGAAATTTGAATTCAAACAGATTTTGGGGGGGACCGCGTCAATGATAAGACTGTGCATATTTTAAGGGGCAATGAATAATTTATATAGTCAACCAACAATAAACACTTGACGACGTCACGAGTATACATTTAATCTTATGCAATACAGTATGCACAAAAACACAAGGCGATACGCGCGAACTAGGATGAAAACACGGTTCGAGTTGATCATACTTCTGGTGCAATCTACAGCTATTAATGATAACATCACCGTGAAAAACAAAAGATAAATTTAGGAAAATTAAATTTAATATAATTTAATACCATAGATAAGTATATAATATGTCTTATACCTAGACTGACATACCGTCTCCGCTTAGAATCGTTTTTCTTATACAATAATATTATATCATTGAATTCATATTTAATATCATCCATTATACAGTGACCCACTTGTAACCTACAGTACAGCAGAGCGACATCCACTTACCCACCTTTTTTAACCTTTTGATTGATATATTTGAAAAAGTAAAATATTTGCAATCTAGTATGTATGAAACAAATTGTAGTATTCCATAATATTTGTGTCTCAACCAATTTTTTGGAATATTTTTTTTTATAGAGTTATGTTTAAGAATATCAATAAATTGTATAATATTGAAAATTTTCCATTTTTGTAACTTTAGAGCTTTTGTGGCACTTGTTAAAATTAAAGAGTTTGCATGAAACTTTTTTTGTATGATTTTTTAGGGTGGGTAATTTAAAAAAAATCACAAATTAAAAATAAGGACCACATATATTATACATATTCTTTATACAACTTACTATAGACTAAACTAAACGAGTAGTACATAAATATGACGATATTTTATACTTAAGGTTAGGTTAATAATTTGGTAAATTTGGTATTTATTAGCTGTATAAACAGATAAAATAAATTCCAAACTATTTTTCAAAAAAAAAATTAAATCATAGAGTTGAAATGTTTAATATATTTATAACAATTCATAATTAAGTGTAGTAAGTAACTTTAACGTTAAAAAAATGTACGTTGAAAATTAAATAAATAATTATTTTTATTTTAATAGACACAAAATAGTTTTTTTTTTTTTTCAGAAAGAAACTTATGTAAAGCTGCTTTATCCAAAAAATCTTCGAGTAGAAACCGTCGATCATTATAATAGATAATAACGTATTATTATTCCATTCTTCTGAGTTCTGACGTGTTATTATAGAGTTTGTATAGTTAAATATTATAGCAATAAAATTAATATCGATGTTACAAAGAACGAACATAAAATAAGCCAACTCAAATAAAATATCGACCTGCATTACTTAGAAACTATTATACAAAAATTATGTTGGGTTTTTTAAAAATACTCAGAAATAACATTGAGAATATTAAAGCAATAATGATTAAGATATTATATCACCATCATATATTATACGCGTTATCAGTAACTAAAGGGGAGGCCGAGCCTATATAAGCCGGTCGTTTAGTTTCGATTGATCAGTGCATGAATTTGCTTGCTGAATAACTATTATTATTATAATATTATATCGTCGTCGTCGTAATCGAAAAACGCCATCACCATGAACGGAAAAATTGTCTTGTTTTTATTCGCGGTCGGCTTTGTTGGACAGGTTAGACAATTTATTCAAGCACACTGCTATTGTTATTATAATAATTTATCTATATGAGTTTTTAGTTTTGTTCGATATTTTAATGTCGCTATTTTGGCTTTGTGTATTTCGCTATAACTGTGATTATTAATAACGACGATGGAAAAGAATAATAATATTTATTAACTTCCGAATTATTTGTTTGACTTGTGATTTTATTGTAAAACTATACTTTACTTCGACTCTACGTTTTTACGTACAATTTTATCCACTCTCATAATATTATACATTTATATATATTTATTTACTATATATTTCACTGTATGTGGTGTATGATTACTAAATCATGTAGTTATTATAAATATTTTAAACGATTCTCTTTTTTGACGAACAATATACCTACGTCTTAATAGTATTTAGTTTTAACTTGTCACTAATTTATGAAATGTATTTAAACACTTAAATAACTTTATAGGCCATGTCAGCCGCAACCAATACTACAGTTGAAGTCGAAGACCTTAAAAAAGTTGCTGATCAAATGTCACAAACTTTTATGTCTGTTGGCAATCAATTATTGGGAATTGCCCAACAATTCATTGAACAATTTGGAACTATAATGACTAAAGGATTCGAAGACGTAAGAATAAATAATATAAATTGTATTACGTTGCTTTATTTATTGAAATTTGTTTCTATTTTTGAATTAATTAACTTTTACAGATGGACACAGATATTAATAAAATGATGGATATCGTTAAAAACGCTGACCCGAAATTGGTTGAAAAATACGATGACTTACAGAAGGAGTTGAAAAAACACCTTGGTGCTGTCAAAGATCTGTTGGAAGATAAAAACGGTGAAAAGGTAGAATTAAATAAAATCACCGAAAACGTTATCAAAACTACCAATGACATGGAAGTAAGTTTACGTGTTATATAAATTATATGTAATAACCACAATCATAATTTATTACCCAATACATTATAGTAGTACATAGGTGCATATACTAGTTGTATAAAACCATTTATTGATATTTTGAAAATATTAATTTTAGTTTAATAATTCGTTTCGTTTTTCAACAATTGATTGGTTTTCTCATCGTTGAATAACAATATTAAATCTCCAAAATTAAAACATACGTTGACATTTGTTAACACAAATGGTTACTTTCATTATCTTTACATATTCATACATGATTATTATTGACTTAGGATTTGAAAGTTAAAATAACTATTAGAACGAGCAATTGTCAAATCCACAAGATACCTACACCCTTTATATCATTAAAATTTATCAACTATATTTTGTTATTAAATTATTTTTATAGTTTAAATATTTATGAATCATTAATATTGATTTAATGTTTCAGGCTACCATGAACAAGGCCATCGATGGATTCAAGAAACCATGATTGTTTTAAAATGACGTGCGACCAATCCAAACAACAATTTTTATATTTTTTTAAATTAAATTATTTTTCTTTATAAAATCTATTTTTATTCCTGTTTTTTGTTTATTTAATAAAATATATACCTGAGTTAATATTTTTCAAATTGTTTGTTATTAATTATTATATAATTGTAACTAAATCTGATATGGTCGATTAGGTATATGATTTTATTATTGTGTTTTAAGCTACAGTATGATCTATGCTAGTTATAGGTTAAAGGGAGGCATTATTATTTTAAAAAAATAATACAAATATAAATCATAAATCAATAAATCATTGTATACAACAAGCGGTTTTTTGCTAAAATTGGAGTCATACTCTATTTCTAAGACATTTTATAATATTATGTATTTTTAAATTTTTATGGCTTACCTACTAGTTATTACCGGTTAGTAGTACCAATAATAAAGTTAGGTTATTATTAGTAAAGTTTTTAGTTAAACACATTTTTGCCAAATTATATTCTACTTATTAATGAATATTATATTACTGTTAATAAGTCATCATAGCCCTAAGTAAATACCGACATACCTACTGTAGAATTGTATAATGGGTTCTTGGTATAATATAGGTAAAAAACTTAAAATTAGTTTAAATATTTTGAAAATTTCAATATCATTAAAACAATTACAATTTAAGTAATAGTGAAATATATCGCAAGTCTACAATTAATATTTATTGAACTGCGATAAACCCACTACAATCGTTATTTTAGTCTGAACACACAATTTCTTGAAAATTTGAAGTACAAATGTTCAGTTAAAAAAAAAATTGGGACTGGATAGTTTTGATATATTTTAACTGCTGTATAAACAAACTTATAACTCATAAGTTACAAGGAACCTTATATTGAAATTTTCAGGCTCTTTGACCTGTAATACTAAAAAACTATATAATATGCTTGAATTGATAAAAAATATATATATACTAAGGAAAGTAGAAAATTTCAAAATATGTATTTTATATTTCAAACAGAACATAAAAAAATATTTTTAAAATGACTTCAGAGAAAATGTTAATATAAATATATGGTCAATCTACGGTTAATTCCTTTATGAACAGCAAAAAAATATTGCTCAAAGGAGTGTCATCAGGCAGAAAAAAATAATAAAAATAAAAACACACAAATCAATGTTATGTTTGTACATATTACATAATATTATATAATATACATATTTAAATTTTATACATTCATTTATTCAGTTTTGTTTTAATCTGCTTTATTTACTATATTGAGTAAAAATTTAGTTGCAATGTATAAAAAAATAGTTAACTATGCTCTAAAAATTGAAGTAGCAAATTATTTGGTTTCTTTTGCAAAAATGTATTGCAACACAGTTTGTTAAAAGCATACATGAACAATATTCTTTGTAGTTTGAACTGTGTAAAATTCGTTCTCAAACAAGACTACAAATTACAAAAATGTATTGAAAAAATTAAAAGAGAATTTGTCAAAATTGGTATCCCCTAATATTCCAATTTATTCCTAATTTCTATTTTGTTTTTCCAAATTATTAAGAAAATTGTAGGTACCCAGATAGCATTTTATAATACTAATATAATAACGTTATACTAAAATTATTCGTTATTACAATGTTATAATAATATTATTAAACAAAAAATTTCTGTCTGGGTAAGCTTGAACATTTTTTAGATTCTGAGTGGAACGATGAAAAGTATTGATTTTACAATGATGTGTGTTTTTTTATTTTTTTTTGTGTCTGTGTACACGATAAGTAGTCGAAAAAATGCTTCGATTTTCAACTTCAGTATATTGTTTGATTGGAAAGTGAATATCATTGGTGCACAAGGGGGGGGTCAAAATTTAAAATTCCAGTACTTTTCAAAAGCGCCAAGAAAAACAAAAGAAAAATTAATAAAAAAACGGGAATTTTTACGTAAAATCGATTTTTCAGAAAATTGAATTTGGATTTTGGTGTAACTTTAAAACAAATGACCGTGGATACATGAACTTTTCACTGGTTGTTTATATTTGCATTTTCTATACACGATAACATTTTCAAAATATTTTGATTTGTTCTCATTTTTCATTTATTTTTAGTGTTTTTTTCTAGAAATATCAATAAAATTTTATTTGTTTTTTAAAAAAACTTGAAAATTTAATAGAAGGCTCCTATTTTATTGTTTCAAAGGCAGATGAAAAATATTAAAAATCGTTAGTCACAGTTGTTTTTTTTAAGCATTTAAAGTTCAAAAATTGACAAAATATGGAAAAATCACGAAAATTAGCAAATTATTTTGAGTTAAGAATTCGTAAAAATTTTTCTTTTTAAATCTAAAATGTGAAAATGTAATACAAGATTCCTTATAAGATTATCTACCTTTATCAAAAAAAAAAATGTCTATAAGAAAGTCAAATTAAATTTTTATGAGCGTTTGAAATTCAAATTTTTACAAAATTGGATGTTTACTCGATTTCTCATGTAGCGATTTCCTTATTTTGTTGTAATTTAAAAAAAAATAACTGTAGATACTTGAAAATTTCACTGAATGTTTATATTAGCATTTCCTATGCACCATACAATTTTGAAAATATTTTAACTCTTTTTGAGCTGTTTACGAACATTTACAGGTTTCAATTTTTGTTAGTTTTTTTTTCTATAAATATCAATAAAGTTTTATCTGTTGTGCCAAAAAGTGTAAAAATTTAATGCAAGGCTTCTGATATATTGTTACAATAGCAGTTGAAAAAAAATTAAAAATACATAGGCACAGTTTTTTTTTTATAAGCATTTAAAGATCAAATTTTGACAAAATTTATCAAAATCTCGAAAATTATCAATCATTGTAATTAATAAATTACAAAATGTTCAGTTTTTATAGCTAAGGATTGCAAATTTAAAACAAAGATTTCACGTCAGTAGTTTATTCTGTTACCAAAAAACCTAAAAAATACACAAGCATAGTTTTTTTTTATAGTCATTTCAAGTTCAAATTTGAACGAAATTACATGATAGAAAACCTAGAATAACTATTTTAGTTATTTTGTTGTGATTATATAATATTATTTGTGTGTACTTGAAACTTCTAAAGTACCTACTCTATTATATATCTATGGAGTATGGACTATGATATTAGTATCAGGGTTTGTTGTTGACGACTTGACGTATAACGCATTCTAACTACCTAATGGATATTGTGATATGATTAATTTGGAATTTATTATAGGTACCTACTATAGGTCAATTTTTTTTAATACCATAGATAAGTATATAATATGTCTCATACCTAGACTGACATATCGTCTCCGCTCAGAATCGTTTTTCTTATACAATGATAATATATCATTTAATTCTAATTTAATATCATCCATTATACAGTGACCCACTTGTAACCTACTGTACAGCAGAGCGACATCCACTTACCCACCTTTTAGATTCTGAGTGAAACGATGAATGTATTGATTTTACAATGATGTGTGTTTTTTTATTTTTGTGTCTGTGTACACGATAAGTAGTCGAAATAATGCTTCGATTTTCGACTTCAGTATCTTGTTCGATTGGTGAATATCGTTGGTGCTTGGGGAGGTTTAAAATTCCCAATAGTTTTCACAAGCGCCGGGAAAAACAACATAAAAATGAAGGAAAAACGGGAATTTCTACGCAAAATAGGTTTTTGAGAAAATCGAATTTGGTTTTTGGTGTAACTTTAAAACAAATGACTGTAGGAACATGAAATTTTGACTGGTTGTTTATATTTGCCTTTTCTATACACGATAACATTTTCAATATATTTTGATTTATTATGAACTGTTTAGGGACATTTTCATTTTCCATTTTTTTTTATTTTTTTTTCTAAAAATATCAATAAAACTTTGTTTGTTGAGTAGAAATACTTGAAAATTTAATACAAGGTTTCTACTATATTGTTTCAAAGGCAGATGAAAAATATTAAAAATCGTTAGTCACAGTTTTTTTTTATAAGCATTAAAGGTTCAAAAATTGACAAATCACGAAAATTAGCAAATTATTTTGAGTTAAGTATTCGTAAAAATTTTTCTTTTTAAATCTAAGATTTGAAAATGTAATACAAGATTACCCATAAGTTTTTCTACCTTTATCAATAAAAAAATCTCTACCAGACTGTCAAATTAAATTTTTATGAGCGTTTGAAATTCAAATTTTTACAACATTGGATCTTCACTCGATTTCTCATGTAGCGATTTCCTTATTTTATTGTTATTCATAAACGAATAACTATAGATACATGAAAATTTCACTGAATATTTATATTAGCATGTCCTATACACCATACAATTTTGAAAATATTTTGACTCTTTTTGAGCTGTTTACGGATATTTTCATTTTAAAATTTTTTTAGTTTTTTTTTCTATGAATATCAATAAAGTTTTAGCTGTTGGGCCAAAAAGTGTAAAAATTTAATACAAGGCTCCTGATATATTGTTACAATATCAGTTGAAAAATATTAAAAATACATATGCACAGTTTTTTTTTATAAGCATTTAAACATCGAATTTTAACAGAATTCTTCAAAATCTCGAAAATTATTAATCATCGTAATTAATAAATTATAAAATAATCAGTTTTTATAGCTAAGGATTGAAAATTTAAAACAGATTCCACGTAAGTAGTTAATTCTTTTACCAAAAAATTTAAAAAATATACAATCACAGTTTATTTTTATAGTCATTTTATGTTCAAATTTGGACGAAATTACACATTAAAAAACCTAGTTATTTTGTTGTGATTATATAATATTATTCATGGGTACCTACTTGAAACTTCTAAAGTTTACTATTATATATCAATGATAGTATCAGGATTTGTTATTGATGTTGATGTATAACGTGTTATAAGTACCTAATGGATATTGTGATAATGTGATATGATTAATTTGGAATTTATTATAGGTCATTTTTTTTTTTAATACCATAGATATGTATATAATTTGTCTTAAACCTAGACTGACATACCGTCTTC